TGCACCGCGTTTGAGACGCATATGTTATGTTGAGCGAAATTGAGAGAGAGAGAGAGAGAGAGTGTGTGAGAGAAAGAAAGAAAGAAAGAGAGAGAAAGAGAGAGAGAGAGAGAGAGAGAGAGAGAGAGAGAGAGAGAAAGAGAGAAACCCCTCTGTCTGTTGTATATTATTTTTATTTCCACCTTTTTTACATAAAAACAAGCAAGATCAGCATTGACCGTGCTATGTATGGATGATATGTTCCAATACTAGAGTAAATCTTTCAACAAATACATGACTGCCTGTCTCATTTCTTTTCTCTTAATATATCGATACAATTACATATATATCTTTATTACATATATATATGTAATATTGTATAATGTGTATGTATTATATGTAATATATATATGTATACACAAAGTATCCCTAAAAAAAATTAACTCTTACATCATATGCATGTTTTATGAATTATTATGTTAATGAAAATCAGTTAAACAAAACGCAAAGATACATCGAGAATACTCACTGCAATTGCTAATATTTTACTTATGCATTTTTATTCATCAAAATGTCGAAGATTTATCAGAAACATCTAATAGGATAGAATACAATTTTCATTTTATAATTAATCAAGTAAGGACATACGTTAAATGATTTATTTCAATTTAAAAATAGATTTAAATGTATAAGATATAAATATTACTGCAATAATAATTCGTCGCGATTAGTTTTGTATTATTTACGCATACGCAACAACAAAAAAATGGGTTTAATATTTTTTTCTAGGATGGCCTTGGATACGTTTCTAAAAATATTTGAAAATATCCTGTAGGGTGTACGGAATGATATGCAAACGTATGGAAAAACTTTAAAAAAAAAAAATGGTTGCACTATTAGAAGAACAGAGGAGAGGGGTGGGGTCGGGGCGTGTTTTGATGCAGAAGAAAAATGAAAGAATTATTTCTCAAGATCATTTTCTTTTTTTTTTTACGATGTTTCTTTCAATGAAACCTTATATTTTATTTGCAATATATTCCTGTAGATATACACCCTGTATATATCTCTCTGCACACATACACATACATATTTATATATTTATATATATAGAATATTATAATTCGTATTTTTCTCCATCTTGGAGAGGGTGAAAAGAAAACAAAATCAGAGATCTCATCTCGTGATCGTCGTAGAAAAGATTTTTTACGAATCGTCTTACATTCGTAATTGCACGACTATATTTATATTGAAATCTATTATAATGATCTCTTCTCTACGTTCAAATGTCGTGATCAAATGTAAAAAGTAAAATAGGGGGAAAAAGGAAAGAAAAACATCAAGAAGTAGGTCACAAGAAAAAATGAAACAATAGTTGGATATCCTAAGTAAGTATTATACTTTAACAACATATTATTTATTGCAACGTTTTGCTGTTATATCGTATCGTTATTATTGTTACCGCTGTTGCTGTTAATACGCGAATAATTGCAAACCGACAGATTCAGGCGATTTAACAATTGTTATCATATTATTATAATTATAATTATAATTATTATTAAGAGTGAGGGGAATTAATCATCGTTAATGGTTTCCCTATAAGTCGCCTCTTACGACAAGCAGGGATTACTGCGGTCTTATTCTATTCCCCAGATCCGCAGGGGATTTATTATTATTATTATTATTAATTTTTATTATTCTTAATTTATTAATTAATTTATTTATATATGTAAATGATATATATATTCCATGAATCTATCTAAAATGGATTTCCATTACAAATACTTTAACACATGTTAAAATGAATAATTATTCTAATTCCTATTCTTTTGGGAAATGTTTGCAATTCGAAATTCTTGATAACTCTTTCATCGTGAAATTTTCTAATTGTATCTATGTATTTTATGTATTATTTTTTATTTTCTTCCCATATGTATTCGCTCACGCGAGAAACGTTTATCGTCACTTTAGATTCTTTTGCAGATATACATACATACATACAGATATTCATACATAAACACATTCATGCATGCACACATACTCACGTACATTGAATATATACATACGCTATATTTCTTCTCCCCTATGGAGGAGGAGCTGTCCAAATAACCGTAGCCGTTTGATATTTATTGATCGTTATTAAAGCTCGATATCTCGTTGATGATGATATACCACTTGAACAACTCCGTTAGGTCTTTTAGACTCATATATGTATATCATTCATGATGTATTATAGTACATCCAATAAGAATAATGAATTTTTCAATAATTATTATTATTAATGAAATATATATATATTTCTTTTTTCCCCCTCCACCTCCACCTCCCCTGTTCCTCCACCCCCTTTTCATATGACTCTATCATCTTCGTCTACGTTATTGTATTTTTTCGACGATAAAATTGTGTGAAGTTCGATATGCATTTTAAATAGCGGCCGACAAAATGGCTACCACGAAACATGGGGTACATATTGGATTTACTACAATGATATCATGTAGAACCTCGTACATCTGTATCTTCATAATCTATTCATCTATATTATAATAAATCCATTTGAATGGATTATATTTTGAAAAGAAAAAAAAAAGAATGCTCTCTCTCTAACATTATTTGAATTCTTAATAATTTGTAGTTAACTTATTTACCAGACGCTACATTTACGGATTGGATTCATCCGTGAGCCTGGTCGACAATTGTAGGCCTTTGCAAAATCCTCGCTATTCGAAAGCGGACCCAATACTCTAACCGGGCCCGGCGAATGCACGCTACTACGTATTTTGGTTAAAGCATCTTCCCGTCTCATCGAGCCACACCAGATTTGAGCATAATTTAGGAAAAATAGTTGGTCGTGGGTTAAATTTACGCCAGGTAACAATGGTTCCTGTCCGTGTATCGAGACCCACTTTTTGTAAGCCTAGAATAAATTAAAAAAAAAGAAAAACGAAGGTAAAGGTAATCCCAAAGATATCCACAGTACTATGTTTCAATTTTTGCTTGCCATGCTACTGAATAAATTTATTTTTAATATGATATCGTAACTCAAAATGTTTATAATATAACATTCGTAAAAACTTTGATAGATTGGAATGAATCGGTTGATCAACGATATGTCATACTTACACGAAACGATTGTTTTAGTCCACCGTTATCAGCAATATTTTCACCTTTCGTCATTCGACCGTTTATATAAAGATCCACTTCCTCTAATTTATATCCGGAATACTGATTAACGATACACTGCGTTCTCTCTCGAAATGCTTTGATAGTTGCATTATTCCACCATTGCATCATGTTACCATCTTTATCAAATTGTCGTCCTTTGTCATCGAAACCATGAGTAATCTCATGACCTATCACCACACCGATTCCCCCGTAATTCAATGATTTAGGAAAGTGTTGAGAATAGAACAGGGGTTGCAGAATTCCTGCTGGAAATACTAAAAACCGACAGTTTGACAATGACTTTGTTAAGTTTCCTTTATTAATCCTTTCATCATTATTGTCTACCCGGCTTACCGATGTCATTTTTATTGGGATTATAAAAGGCATTCAATACGGCTGGTTCCGTAGACCATATGTCCTTGTCGACTGGTTGACGCAATTCCTGAAGATTGTGATAAGCTTCGTATTTGTGCACTGCCAAAACATTTTCCAAAAAACGATCCTCCGTTATGTTCAACTGAAATACGTTTCGTAGAACAATTTATCAACGAATCGAAGAAAAATCATTAATCGGTATTGTTGCAATTTATGATAATTACCGTCACGTATTGCATGGAAAGTTTGACGGAATCCTTAAGAAATTCAGGATAACCGATCCTCTCGTTCATCGAATCGGCTTTAGCTTTAGCAACCATTCGAGTTTCATCATCCATCCATTGATTTTCAGCAAGCAATTCATTGAAAGCTTCGCGTATCGTTCGTATCATTTCCAAAGCCGTTTCCTATCAACGATCAAATGATTATTCGCCATTCACCATTTACCATAAAAGTCTTATTTAATCATTCTACTATCTGACATTGAAACGGTTAATAATACATTAACAACCTTGCTTTCGTGATTGAAATTATCACGTATGAAAAGTGCGCCCACAGCCATGCCAAGATTCCTATTTGTCCATTCGACGCATTCTGACCACCTGTTTCTTTCACTTAGTATACCTGACAGTATCTTACGAAACTCGGTTCTCTTTTGCTGATACTCGTCTATCATATGGGGCATGATCGACATCACGAATCGCCATATTATGTAATTGTGCAACGTCCTGTCGAGGGCAAAATTACGAAATTAAAAAATATATACAATTGGGGAATAATCAACGAAATGTGATTGATTGTGCAGATTTTTGATTAGAAAATGTTGCAAAATAAATGTTACGAAATTAAACAAAAACAAAACGAAACAAAAAAAAGATGAGAAATTGTCGAAAAATTGAATTTAAAACAGACCGATTTTACGTTAGAATTTCAATCAAAAAATGACAGATGATTGAAGTACGAAATTTCAAAAAGCGATATCAAATTTAAATAGATCAAGAACAAAACAGAAAAATCCTAACAGTATAATATCGAATTTAAATAGAAACAAATTAAACGTCTATCTAATTATATCGATCATAAAATAATGGGAAAATAAAGTGATAGAATAATAAATCGATGGTAATGATACGCGCAGGGGGGAAAAAAGAAAAAAAAACCATTCGATTACCTGCGATCAGTTTTCTGAACGATGCGACCCATTTTAAGGAAGTAGGGCATCGCGTATGCGACTACAGGCTCGTCCTCGGTAATTGGAGCACTTACGAATTCTTGGAGATAAACTTTCCATTGAAGTTGCGGCACCTCTTCTTGAAGTTCCCGTAACGTTAACTTTCTATAGATCTGAGAGGTGTCGTGTCTGTCAGCCTCGGGCGACGAGGCCTGCAAGTTTAAACATACAAGTGGACAAAAAAATAAAATTAAAAAAAATACTTATGAAAAAAAAAAAAAGAAAAAAAAACAAAAGGTCGTTGGTCAATATATTATATCGAGTTTGACTTGATTTTAAACGCAACAATTTCCAAAAACAGGCAAGAGAGAGAGAGAGGAAAAAAATATAAATGTACGAATGGTACATACACACACGTACATTGGCAAGTTTTTTTTCAAGGGCGATCACGCGATTGAACTCGTATGCAGCCGTATCGGGATTTGCACCTAGCAACACTGCGACATTTGTCATGTAACGATGATAAGCTTTCAATTCTGCTTCGCTGTTCTTCTTTAAATAATAATCCCTACTAGGTAACGCAAACTGCATCTGGTCCAACTAACGGAGAAAACCATAAGAACAATTTTATAATTATTAACGTTGCGATCGATTAGTATTCCAACAGAGCGTGTCATCAAAGTTTATAACAATTAACATTTTAT